AATTAAAAGTATGTGGAAACAGGTCTTCTCAGCTATAATTAAGATGAGGTCACACTGAGTAATAGAGGGCCCAAACAGAGTGAGAGGGACAGAGGACACACTGAGGCTTACAGGGAGAAGACAGCCATTTGCAGGGGACTGAGGATTATGTTGAATCTGCAACCCAAGGGCTGCCAGTTACTCCAGAAAGCTGGGTGAGGGCGCAAGTTTCTTTTAGGGCATTCAGAGGGGTCAGGTGGATTTCTGTAGCTTGAAGCCCTTCTTCTGGTTTGTGGATATTGGTTACAGCAATCCTGGAAAGTACACTTACATTCATCACAGGTCTCAGTGGTCCCTGCTCCAAACCTCAGCAGTCACTCTTCTGGAAGCCTATTCTGGCTCCTCAGTCCTCATCATCCCCCTTATCTCAATGCTGATGACATCTGGTGACAAAGGCATGTTGCACATAGTCAAACCCGGTGCTTCCTAGGGACTATGGAAGCACAGATGACCAGTACAGTCCCCAGGACATTCCCCGCCTTGGATCTCCCATCCTGTCTGGCACACACCTGAAAGGCCTTGGAAAATTTTGCTCTCCCCTGTTTGACCTAGGATCTATGGGCAGACTAAGCCCAGCCTCTCTCTGGGGTCTGGGCCCAGTTCTGAGCTCATGATAAAGTGTCTATTTCTGGCAGCATCGGCCTGGAGGTGTAAACACATACCTGGTTGAGACACAACCATTCCTATCTTGGATTTCAAAATAAACTCAGCTCAGTAATGGGCAGTCTCCAGGTACCACAGTCCCTCATTAAGCCTGGAAGGGTCTCTGACGGGCAAAGGGCTGGCCCAAGGCCAAGGAGGAGACCTGACTTCAATGGGTAGCTTCCCAGCCCCACAGAGGGCATTAAACATAAGTTCCCTCCTCTACTCCCTCTCTCCCTCCCTCACCTCCTCCTCCTCTCTTACTTTCTCTTCCTTCCCCCTCCCTCTCCTCCTTTCTTCTCTCCCCATCCCTGCCACCTTTCTTTCTACTATTTTTTCTTTCTTCTATATCTTTCCCTCCTCTCTTTTCCTCTCTCTCCTTCATTCTCCCCTGGTTTTAAGAAGGACCTCTCCAGGAGCTTGGCAGTCAGTCCCCCGTCCAGCATGCATCCAATGTCAAAGCTTCAACACTTCTTCCCCATATGACCACAGCCCTCCTAGTGTTATAAATCAGTGCTCTCACTGGCTCTTGTTTCCTTTCTCTGGATTTCCCCCTTTTTTAATGTATATGTTCTGTCCACATGCACACCTGCATGCCAGAAGGCATCAGATCCCATTATAGAAGTTGTAAGCCATCATGTGGTTGCTGGGAATTGAACCCAGATCCTCTGGAACTCTTTATTGAGCCTCAGATAGCTTGGCCTAAAGAATTCTCAGCAGTGCCTCTCCCTGTATGAGCCTTCACTAGTCCCCTATTGTCTCCAGAAAAAGGTGGAATGCTTATCCACCTACAGAGCTCTTAGGGAAGTGGTTCTTGCCTCCAACCCATTCACCTGCCCATTAGCCACCGTTAAGGTCTGGCTAGGACTCAATGCACTGCACAGAAATACAGGTCCACAGCTTGGGCCTTTAAAGATATCACCCCTTCCTCTGTCCTCCCAGCTGACTAGCCCTTCCTTGCCCTGACAGACCCACAGCAGGGGTGTGTGCCTTCTACAGTCTTCTGACCTGAGTTTTGTTTTTCACCGATGTTATTCCCTGCTGCCTGGGTGGCAGTCCCACCTGTTCATCCATTCAAGGTTTCCTTCTGGTGGGCAAGTGAGCACTCAGCTTTCTGCAATGCAGTGCATGACAGGTGACTGCCCCGGGGACTCTGGCCTGCCCCTTGTTATGTAACACATCCTTCCATCCTGAAATATTAAATCCTGCAGGAAAACTCCTTAAGCAGAAAGGTAAACAACTCAAAACAGCTTCAGGAAGTCCCTGAAACAGACCAGATTCACTAAGCCCCTCCCTGGCAGAGTAAAGAAAAAGCTGAGAGTCCCTCTCAAACAAGCAGAGCTGCAAAGAAGACCCTCAGACTAGACCAGCAGTCAGGAAGAAGCCTAAACCAGACAAGATGCCTGGAAATGGTTTAGACCAACTGAGGAACCTAGATAGGACACTTTCCAACTGGCTGAACTGCCTGCTCCCAGCTTTGTGAGTTGTCACTCATGCATGAGAAAATATGCCCAGAAAAAATAAAGCTATTCTCAATGAAGCTCTGAGTAAGTTTACAAAGTACCTACTGTGATACCCATTTTACAGATGTGGAGACTGAGTCCCAGAAACACTCAAGAGAATTGCCCTCAGGTGCCCATGCCTGGCTCTGTGACTCAGATGAACCTCTCTCTATGCCTTCAGCTGTGTATGGTCATTTCTATGAACACCTACCCAGCCAGGTGGCTCTGGTCTCATTCCCAAGTGGCTGAGTGTTTTGGAGTAGCTTCTAAAGTGATTTCATTGTAGAAATAGTGTACACATTGATTTGGGAAACTAATGGATATTTTAAAACAATAAATATAATTTCTATTACTCTTATCACCCTTGGTCAACCTCTGTAGCAGCTGTTAACATTTTCTATTCTTTTTTACCTGTTTATTGATAGTGTTAAAATCAGAGCTCTAGTGCCATTTTAAATTGTGATTTTTAAAACTTATTATGCAGCTGGGTGTTGGTGGAGCACACCTTTAATCCCAGCACTCAGGAGGTAGAGGCGGGAGGATCTCTGAGAGTTTGAGACCAGCCTGGTCTACAAGAGCTAGTTCCAGGACAGCCTCCAAAACCACAAAGAACCCTGTCTCAAAAAAACAGAAAAAAAAAAAACTTAGGCTGTGTCAGTGTGTATACAATGGGGTGTGTGTGTGTGTGTGTGTGTGTGTGTGTGTGTTTGCATGCACACGTGCGCATGCCACAGTACTTTGTGGAGGTCAGAGAACAAGTCACAGGAATCCATTCCCTTCTCTCCCCGTGTGAGTCCCTGGGGATCACACTCAGTTCCTCAGCCTTGGTGACAAGTGCCCTTACCCACTGAGTCATATTGCCAGCCCAGTTCTACTTCTTGTTTTCAGCTTAGTGCAGTATCTTGGGTGTCTCTTCATATTCTAAACTATGAGTGTAGATAATGTTTAGCACTTTTTTATTAACTGTTCAAAAGGTGTCCTTCCATTTATAGGCGCCATCATTTACTCAGCCTCTCTCCTGTGGTTAAGCACTGAAGTGGCAATGATTTTCACTATTCTAACAATTACACAACAAACTTTTTTTATCATTTTTTTATTTGAATTAGAAACAGGATTGTTTTACATGACAATCCCAGTTCCCTTCTCCCTCCCTTCCTCCCCTACCACCCCCCCACTAAAGCCCTACCTATCACATATCCTTTCTTCTATTCTTCCCCTGACTCAACCTTTCTGCTCCCTCATGACCTCCTTCCTCTTTTTCCCTTCTCATTCTCATAGCTCCCTGCCCCCTCTTCCCATGCTCTCAATTTGTTCAGGGGATCGTGACCCTTTCCCCTTCTCCAGGGGACAATGCACAACAAACTTTTATGGTCAAAAATTTCTTGCATACACTTGGATAAGCAATTAGGTTTTAAAAGTTAAAGATTTCTAGACTGGCGGTGTAGCTCAGTGGCACAGCATTTAATTAGTACCCCAGGTTTCACCCATAGAATTTTTTTTTAAAGGCAAAATAGATATATTGTTTAATAATGTCTTTGAAACCTGTACAATCAAATTGGAATGATAGGGAAATTTGCATGGTGACATGAAATACCATAAAGCATAATATATCTCTTTTGTTATGATAAATCTTTCTGCCAGCCACCCAAGCCCCGCTGCCATGTGGCCACCCAAAAGTAACACACAGTCTTATAGTAGTTTACAATGCTGTTGGCCAATTGACTAGAATTTCTTACATGCTAGCTCAGTCTTAATTATCATAAATCTATATATTTTATAAGACTTATCTTATCAAGGACACCTTCCACTGTCGTCCTCTTCCCAGGATCACATGGCGGCTCCTGAGCAGAGAGCAGGATGAAGAGGAAGAGCCAGAGAGTGATTTCCTGCTTATATTCTAAGTCTGCTTGCTATGTCACTTCCTGCCTGTATCACAATACTTCTTTACTACATTTCCCAGAATCCTCCTTGACTTCTAGTCCCACCTAACTTGCTTTTTCACTAGCCATCAGTACTTTATTCAACAACCAATAGGATAAACATACACCGAAGGACATTCCTCATCACTCTTTGGTTTCTTTTTCTTTTCTTTCTTTTTTTTGGCAGGGAGGAGTTTGGTTTTTCAAGACAGGGTTTCTCTTTGTAGCCCTGGCTGTCATAGAGCTTGCGCTGTAGACCAGTCTGGTCTGGAACTCACAGAGATCTACCTGCCAGTGCCTCCCAAGCACTGGGATTAAAGGCATGTGCCATCATTGCCTGGCCTTTTTGGTGTCTTAACAATTATTTTATTATTATTTTTGAGAATTTCATACATGAGAAGTGAATTTATATCATTTTCACCCCACTTTCTCTCTCCCCCAACTCTTCTGGTGTCCTTCCCCACTCCTTTTCACCTTCATGACCTGCTCTTCTTTAATTATTATTGGCAATATATTTGAATACATATACATATATCTATATAGAGATTGATCAATGTGAATGAATGAAACCAGCTGAGTCCCATGTGGTGGTTTGAATGACTCCCATAGGCTTATATGTTTAAATGCTTAGACATCAGGGAGTGGCACTGCTTGGGACTGATTAGGAAGTGTGGCTTTGCTGGAGTAGGTGTGGCATGTTTGCAGCAAGTGTGTCACTGGGGGATGGGCTTTAGGGTTTCAAATGCTCAATCGAGGCCCAGTGGCTCTCTTTCTTCCTGCTGTATATGGGTCTGGATGTAGGAGTCTCAGCTACTTCTTTAGCACTGTCTGCCTGCATGCTGCTATGCTCCCTGCCATGATGATAATGGTCTAAATCTCTGTAACTGTAAGCATGTCCCAGTAAAGTGCTTTCTTTTATAAGAGTTGCTGTGGTCATGGCGTCTCTTCACAGCAATAGGACACTGACCAAGACAGTCCATTTAGTGTTGCTCATATTGGATAATCTACAGGGGCTTTTTGCTGGAGAACACTGATTCTCCTTCTCTTAGCATCCATTAATGCCTACAGTTTCTCTATGGATGAGACCTTGAGAGACTTCCCCCATCCTGTGCTAGGCTGTCAAATGGTGGCATTGTACAGGTCTTCTTTAGAAAACCACATAGTTAAGATTTCATGAGTGTATGTTCTATCTTTAGATCTGCCTTAGCTCTAAACAGAAGGGCTCAAATCCAGAGACACCTGTCATGTTGCAGCCTGGCCTTACATAACAACGGTAGCCTCTTCAGTCCCCTGCATCTTGAGTCTGGTTGTTATTCTGTAAATAAGTAAATAAATAATAAAGTTTTGCAGGCCGGGGGAAAAAAAAAACTAATAGTGCCATGCCTCTCTAAATTCATATATGGAAGGCCCAGCCTTGCCCTGCCCCATGACTCCTAGAATGAGCTAAATGAGATCACAGAGGCAGGCTTAATTCCATGAGACTGGCATTCTCAAAAGAAACAGGAAAGAGACTTGAGGGGGAGGCCATGTAGGCACACAGCAAGGAGGTAGCCCTCTATAAACTGTGAAGAGTGTCTTACCAGGAACCAACCTGACCATCATGACCTTGAACTTCTGGCTTCCACAAAGGTTCAAAAGTGCAGAAGCCCCATGTTGGTGGTGTTTTATCCTGGCCACTCAAACAGACAAAGGAAACTTTACCCACAAATTGGGGTAAAACTTAACATATTGTGCATTTCAGATATTATTGACTTTTATTGTAGCATTGATGTGGTTTAGATGTGAAATGTCCTCACAGGCTCATGTGTCTGAACCAGTGTTAGTTTCCCACTGGCAGTGCTGTTTGGAAAGGTTGCAGAACCTTTAGGAGGTGGCGCCTTGCTAAAGGATGGAGAACAATGAAGGTAGGCTTTGAGGTTTTATAGCGTCACTCCACTTCCTGTTCCTTCTCAGTTTCCTGAGGATGCAGTGTGATCAGCCAGCCTCCTGATCTTGTCTCCATGTCTACCCTGACATGACAGACTGCGAGGTCTCAAACTGTAAGCCAAAAGAATCCTTTATTTCTTGAAGTGCCTCTTGCCAGGGAATTTTGTCACATGAGAGAAGTAACTAATACAATCAGGTTTGTTTTTTAAAGTAAATATCAACATACAGGCTAATTTGTGAAATATTTTCATCTCAATAAGTCCCTGCAGATAACTGAGAATAGCTAGGGACATCTGGAAGACTTCACACAGACCCTCACCATCAGTACCCGTGTATTTAGACACTGGTCCCTCATCAGACCATGGTACCTGACCGTAATGTATCCAAGAGAGCTGTCATACTGGCTTGGTGTGCTTGTGTGCTGCCCTCAGAGCCTGCTTCCTCATCTGTGAAGTGGGATGGTGCCTTCTTTCTTTTGGGTCACTCTGAGCTAAGATATACTAGTTGCCATAGTATGTGGGAGGAGATACTTCAAGAATTGTCTCTAAGAAATCATAAGACCCTGTGAATTTTTACCTTAGCATATACATGGACAAAGCCTGCCTCCTTCTCTGCAGTGACCAGAAGTGTCCTTTAGGAAAACTGACAGGAGTTTCCTGAAAGCTCCCACACTACATCAGAATTCTATGAGGCTTAAGTTGATACTGATGGACTCAGAAGTAGCTCAGGGTTTGGGGTGTTGGTGGGGACATTGTAAAGTGCCCAGAGAACTGCAGAGAGCCAACTTCCTGGGCTACACTAACCACACAAGAATGAGAATACCCACAATGAGGATTAACTCAGCCAGGGCACAGGGATGAGACACCAACCGAAAGACCTCAGAACATACCAGACACATCACATCCACACAAGGTAGTATCACACTGTCCCATTTTACAGAGGCTCAGACTTTGTCACTTGCTTGAAGTCACATCTCATGGAGCTGGGCTTCCAGTGTGAGTTTGTCTTGCTCTGAAAGGCTTTTCTATGTAAAACTGTGCACAGATATGTAGAAAGTCTTCATTAACGTGGGCACCCACTGAATGCCACTGTCAAACCTGCTGCATGAGGAGCCAACAGTTAACAATGCAGGCAAGGACTCCTGACTTCCACAAGTGAAAATGAGCACTGATAACACACACACACACACACACACACACACACACACACACACACACACACACCCCTCATAGAAAGGTGCAAGCTCTGTTGTTTTCTTAAGGACAGAAAGAAACAGGTGAAATCTGGTTAAAGACACAGCATAATTAACACTTTCCTTCTAGTGAACAGTATAGCTGTCATTCTAATGAAATCCAAATGACATCTAAATGAAGAAAAAAAAGAACCCCCCCCAAAAAAAGAAATCAGGGAAGAGCTGACCCATGTAGTGCTGGCCCCCACGGTGTGCCAGAAAACTCCAGATTGTCAAGTTGCCAGGTCTCAACTTCTTCTCTAGAGGTGAGGCACTTCCCAGGAGCCTGCATTGTAGATACCAAAAAATTCATTTTAAGTTTATTCAGAGGGCCAGAGACCCAGACAGCAGTGTAATATTGACAAGAACAGAGTGAGAGTGACAGCCCTGCTCACTCCAGACTTGCTGTAAACTATAGTTTGGTACTGTATGGGGGTCAGGCTTTC